TCCAGCAGCTTCGCAGACTCATAGATGATCTCCAAGGCTGATGTCTGCTGCAGCTGAAGCAGCAGCTCCAGGCCTCCATCCAGCCGGATCCTGTTGCAGATTTCCTCCGCCACCTGACGGCCCACGGTGGGCAGCACCCAGGCTTCCTCCACCAGCTGGTAGATCTCCGCGACGGCCCTGCGGGTCTCGTCTGAGTCGCAGTTTTCTTTGGCTGTCCTGAGGCTCCTGATGGCTTCCCGCAGGGCGGGGAGGGAGTCCTTCAGGACCGCCTGGACGTCTGCGCTGAGCCCCGGGGAGACCGGCTTGGGCTCAGAGCCGCTCCTCCCTCTCTGCAGCCGGCTGACATATTCCGGGACAGTGAGTCTGTCTGAGCTGAACATGAGGCCGAGGTGTCGGTGGAGCCTGAACAGGAAGAGCGTCAGCAACAAGAGCATCTACTGACTGATAAACAGAGGGAGATCCTGGCCTGCAGCCGTTTACAGATCGGCCCGATACACTGATTGGTCCAGGAGATTTTTAAGATGACCAAATTAAAGTAAATACTGAATCATAAAGATACACAGATAACTCCTGATGGCTTTCATCACATTGCATCACCTCTATAGCAGATCCTGAACTCGGAGGATGCTTAATCTATTTCCACGATTAACATTTCTATGTACTTCTGTAAAAAAACAAACAAAAATAAAATCCAACGATCAAAAATGTCAAAGAAGCAAAGATTTTTCCTCAGCAGGACGCAACTTATATTGTATTTCCTCGTTCAGAGACAAAGGATGAGATGTCATAGTCCTCGTTTCCACAGCAACCAGAGATCTGTAACGGCTTTATAAAGCATAAATATCAACTGTAGCACTTACATAGAGCAGCCCTAGACTCCTATAATAATATCATTCAGTTAGTTTCAGACGTTTCGGATAAATCATGCACACAGTCTCCATCCTCCTTTTCTCTACCTTTGGTTCAGCCGGTCAGCGCATGCGCAGAGCGCGCACAGTCTCCAGGCCCCCTGCTGAGTCAGAGGCGTAGCCAGAAAATCTTTCTAAGGGTGGCCAGGCAATAACCAATAGGGTCAACTGTTCCAACAAGAAAATGAAAGAGCACGACATCCATATTTTCCGAATAAAGACAATCTATACTTTCCTACAGCCTTTGCTAACAAATAAAAGTATATATTTAAACATTCGTCTTGATAAAAGGTATATTTCAGGTTCTGGGGGCGAAACATCTTTTCCATTGTCAATACTTACCTACTTTTATCAATAATCATTCTGCATAAAATTGATATTTACAAGAACCAAAATCTACATAAATTTATTATATAATGTGTTTTTGTTAAAAAACACAACATCTTGTTCTGAAAAGAGCATGAATTCTGTACTTATCATCTTTAATGTTAGTTTATTGATGTGCATTATTAACCACAGTGTTTTTGTCAAGTAATTGTGGAAAAACATCCACAACTGGGAATTGTAGGAGCCAATTATTTTTTGTTAATAATATAAGTTTTTTGTTTTTTTTTTGCATAATCTAGCTAATTTTATTTTACTTTATTGTTTGATATCTGTTATGAGATTGTTATTTTTTATATAATTATTATTTTATAATTATGATTATTATTATAGTTATTTTTTTGGCTGTTTTTGGTTAGTTATGAATAATTTGGGTGAATTATTTTTATAAATAGGCTGTCAACAGTAGGACCAGCAGGAATCTGGGTGGGCGTATGTTTTTTTACCTGCACAATAGAAACATGGAGGAAATGTTTGGCTTTTTTCTGTTTGCTTGCCTGAGGAGAAAATAAACTGAGAAAACCAAAGGACTTTACCTGGAAAAATTTTTCTTTTGCTTGCGTAAAATTAGTCCATGATGCATCTGTAGCTTTTGTGGATTTCCACTTTTTTTGAGTCATCAAAGCTGGACCACAACAGGAACAGATTCAGTTTTAACTTCCTAAAATAGCAAGACAACTAACAATTACAATGAAAAATTGAGATTAAAGTGAGGGAAATAAGTTACAATTAAAAAAAGAGAAAAAGGAAATGACATGCATGAATTATATCAGTAATTAAAAATACATTTAGGAACAATAAAGTAAATTTTATCAATTAAAAACTGCAATAAATTACCAGTTGCAATTACAAAAAAGCTAGAGAGGAAACAAAGTTAATGTAAACAAAAACTACATGTATATATTTGATGGGTAATAAAGAAGTTAATCAGACGAAGAAAAACTCTGAAACGTCTAATCTTTGTTTTTCCATATTTTTATTGTCATTACACTGTCACAAGAACAGAGCAATTAATTTAACTCTATGCATTTAATGTGCGGCACCTGGGGAGCGATGTGGGGTTAAGGATCTTGCTCAGAGTGCCAGAGTGGCAGTCTGTGGGAGTGGGGCTGGGACTCAGAACCTCAGGATTCCAAGCACAATGCCCTAACCACTAGGCCGCCACAACCCAAATCGAAATAAACTAATAACACAGAGATGGATAACCATACACACACACACACACACACTCCTAGGGTAATTTTATAATCACCAATTAACCTAATAGTCATGTTTCTTGACTGTTAGACTGGGGGAGAGAACCCAAGTTTGCAAAGAAGAACATGAATACTGCATGCAGAGTAAAACTAATTCAGGGCTCAAACCCAGGATTCAGTTGCTTTCACCTTCCGGGCTTCTTCTAGTTCTTCCCTGAGCCCTTGGTATTTCTCCATCTTCTCGCTCTTTCTTCTGGATTTTCCCATTATTTGGGATTGCTACATTGGTCACTATGGCCGTCCTTTGCTGCTTATCAATGATCAAAATTCCTGGTTGGTTGGTCACCACTATTTAATCTGTTTGTATGTGGAAGTCCCACTGGATTTTAGCTCTGACATTCTCCACCACTGGTCTTTCTTTGGAGGTGGCTCCCATTTTGACCTGAGGCCACTTGGTTATGGTTTTCCATGTATTCCTTTCTTGCCTGTACACCCTGCTGTGAGATGGTGGATTGTTTCAGGGACAATAGCCCGCACCTTGGATCTTGCCTGGTTTGATAGATTTGGGCCTTTATAGCTCTCTAGCCATTGATAGGATTTGGTCACATTGGCCTCTATCTGTCGGTGGTACATCCCATGTATACATACACACACACACACACATATATATATATATATGGACGCACTGTGTATATACTGTATATACCCCATGCACCTTTTCCTTCTTTTGACTGTTGAGCCGATGTGACAAGTGAATTTCTCCACTGTAAAATCATTAAAGGCTATCTTATCTTATCTTACCTTATCTTATTAATGAAAGAAGGGGAGTTCCAGAAATGTTAAGATTAATGAATGTTATGAATGAATTTAATGCTATAAAGAGACTTGTTTTTGTTTTCCAAACTGTCTAACTTTCATTCAAACTGTAACAAACTAAATTTCCAGCACCATCTCCAGATTTATTCTCTAAATCCAATTACCAACAGCCCATAACTGCAGCTCTTATAAAGATACCTGATGTAGATCCCTAAATAGTTAAGTCAAATTTTGTTTCCTGTTTTTATGATTTGGTTCCCTATTTCTGGTGTTGTGAATTTCCTTGTTTCAACTGCAACACTTTCCTTTTTCTGACTCGATGTTTAGACTTTTATTGTTGTTCCTAACAGCTTTACATTTTAGAAACGGGAGGCTGAAAATAGCACACACCATTTACTCTGGATTGAAAACAACCAGCATTTTAGATTTTTGCCGCTTTTGATGGTTCTTACATATAAAAAGTCAAAATTATAGTGATGGAGATGTAGGCAAGATGTACTCAGGAGATGTACAGTTCTGGTTTTCTAAAATGTGACATTTTGCATGTATGCCAGAGTGTTTGGGTTCAGGATAAGCCCCTAGTCCTTGTGTGTTCTGTGACTTCTTTAAAACAACTAGCATTTTTAATTGCTTCTTTTACTAATGATTTTACTGTCTTCTACTGTCAAACATGAGCTTCATGCTCATGTTTGACAGTAGAAGACAGTAAAGAAATAAGATGTTCAATAATGTTTTCTAACATTCTTTGACAGAAAAGCTTTATTTATACTCACACTAAAGGTATGGTGGAGGATGTTCTTTTTCCGGGTGGATCATCAAAATAAATTGTCCTCTTAATTGTCAATAATTCTAGTGATATGTAAGGCAGTCCTTCACGCTCGTCCCCATTTTCTTCTCTTGGAAGGTAAGATTGTATGAGGGTTGCAAAAAGCAATTTTAAACAGAGCCTGCACGAGGAGAAATGGACTAGTGCATGCTCTCACACACGTTTAACACGTATTCCCTCTCGGGAATGGGTACAGGGTTGTACATGTGCTTTTTTTTTTTTAAGTGGAGAGGGCCTGTACTTTTTTTTAATTCACACAAATCCTCCTCTTTAGCTTTAAGTTATTCACATAGGTGGATTTATTTTAGGAAACTTATTAGATCATGTCAGAAATATGTGTGCAAACTTCCCAACAGAACAAGGATTCATTGTCAATATAAATAAATCATCTAAGTTGAGGAACAGTACTAGTTTTAATGTTTTGGATTATCTGTAGAAAACTCAGCCAGTAGAAATCCTTAGAGGTTAAGCTGTTTTTTTGGAGGTTGATTTTTTACCCCTGCTTTTTACTGCAGTTATCCTCTTGAAAGCAGCATTTTGAAATGCAGCTGTTGGTCTGATCTGTGTCTGTTTATCTGTTAAAGCACTTATGCATTTGCTTCCTGAACAATTGGCAAAACAGAGCTGTCCACTTCAGAAATTTAGGATGTTCCACAGAGGACACATAACTCATCAATTTTACAGAAGACACTCACTTCAAGATCAATAAACTGAACCAAAAACAGATAACATGTTTCCTTCAGATGAATCCAGCTTTGTGTTTTCTTATTGATTTCTTTCCTTTTCTGTCTGGAATTGGCTGCTTGTGAACAAACGAGGTTAAAGTAAACAGAGGGAAGAGGGGTGACTGACACATGCTTCCAATAACCGAGAGCGCATGGTTTATCATTACCTCCTCAGTCTGTCTGCTGACAGAACAGAGACAGCATGAAGCTGTGTGTCCTTCTTCTGCTCGCTCTGAGCGCCAAGGCCTTTGCCCAAGATGGTGAGTAATGAAAAAAAAAGAAATTGTGTCTTCTTCTTAAGAAACCTTTCTTTTTACCCTTCTTACGGGGCATTAACCTTGGTGTCAGCCTCTTTCCCTACTAACCTCTTCTCTAACCAGGTCAGTAATTAAACATAATTTTTATGTTTAGTCAATTTTTTGTTTTGAATAGTACAGAGTTGATTCACTTTGTTCTCATAACAAGCCTTTGATTTAGTGCAGGGAACTTTAGAAATGTCATTAAACCTGGCTTGATTTATTTTACATTGACACGCAATGATGATAAACTAAATAAAAAAGGATATCTGGTTTTTAGAAGGTTTTATTAATGAAAATCTTAAAAGAGTAGCATGCATTTTAGTTCAACCATTCAGAGTAATAGTTTGAAGAAGCCCCTTCAGGTCCAACAGAAGTCCACCTCTATCAGCTTTGCATGTTCAAGTGATAAAATTCCTTTTTTTAAATGCTTAATTTGAATTGGATGAAGCGCTTGTACTGATCAGTCTGAACCCATATACATGCTTCTGTGGGAACCACTGCCGCTCTGGCTGCTCTGGCTTCTGCTGTGTTTGGCTTTAAAATGGAACCTCCACCCAAAAATTGTATTCAAGTAAGATAAAATAAGATCAAGCACTACTTAATCATATTTTTACTTAAAAGTAAAAAGTAGCCATCTAGGAAATTAATCACTAGAGTAAAAAGTATTTAGAACAAGGCTATTCAAGTGCTAAATAACTCATCATAACATCTGACAGATCCAAATATAAAGTAATGTGTAACATCTGGTACGTTAAAGACTCAATAAAATGATTTAAACAAAAAATATATATGTAAGTGAAAAATAAAACTTCCAGGCAGAAGAACAGAATTTCCAAACCAATTTTCTTTTTAACACAAATCCATAAATCTTTTTAGCTCTAGTGACAATATTTTCTCAAGGTAAAGTAAAAAGTATAGTGCAGTAAAACTACTCCTAAATTATTATTCAAGCAACTGAATAAATGTAACTAGTTACTTTCCACATCTGCTACATCAACTATGGTGTGGTTTTTCTGTCTTCCCTAAAGAAAAGCTGATTCCCTGTGTCAAAATTGCATTGATGTGATCTGGAGTGTTTTATGCTCCATCTGGGACATGTTATGCAGTATATAACCAATATGTGTCCAGTCAGTAGATTCTTAAAACAATGAAGCTTCTAAAAAGTTAGTTTTCTAAAATTAAAGTACATGCAGGTGAGTTTTGTTGGTCAATTAGGGGACGCCTGTAGGCAACCGGTACACTTTTCCTTGGGGGAATGTAAGGGACCAAACTTTAATGAGGACAAAAGGTGTTCAAAAATGAAAAAAAAAAAATCTTGATTTAATAATGTCAAAAATAATGATGGCTAAAACGGCAATACAAATCCCTTAAATAATAAATATGATTTGATTTTGGCCCAAATAAACTGAAGTCCACTTAACAGTAACTAACATAAACAATAAAGAACAGAGGCTGCTTAAATAGGGATGGAATAACCTAAACCTGCCACATGTGGGAGACACAATATAACAGAGAAACAACAAATCAGAAAAAATCCATACAACATTAAAACATATTAAACAAATAAAGCCACACTTTAACTTAGCACAAATAACAAGTGCATATTAAGGTGACAAAATAACTAAGGTCAACTTAAACAACATTCCCCCCTCAGCTCTTTGGGAAAGTGGTATGTTCCAGGCTTCCAGCTGATCTGCATTTGCAGAACCTCAAAGAAAAGAAAAAGTGTGAGTTAAACCATTCAGCTATTAACTAAAGTGTGCACCCATTAGAAAATATACATCTAAATGAAACAACTTAAACTAGATATGGAACTAAATATGAATTACGAAAACTATACAAACAATTTGGGTGGAGGTAGAAGGGAATTAAACAAAGGGAGCAATGCGCAGATCAGATTTTCAGATTTTAACAGCCATATATATTTTTTTATTTTCTCATTCACAATGATCCAATTATTTGTTGTTGGTCTTTCTGGTAAACAACTAAAAAACATGGAAGTTTGGCAAAGTGGCTATGAAGGCCAGTCTGCTTTTATCTCTTAGCCTGACATCCAGAGAGCCCAGAATCTGCCCATAGTGCTTTTCCATGAATAATGTTTTGGTGGGAAAAAATTACTTAAAATTTGCAAAATCTCTCACAAAATGTCCTGATTGCAATCTTTATCTTCTAATCTATGGCTGATCAAAAAACTGAGGTTCCCTCGACTAATTAATCAAACGAGGTAGCTTCTAACTTCTCCAAGCATCCAAAAGGTCGGTATAATTGGATCTGATCCATTGCTGTACTGTCAGTCTCATATGACTGTAATCAAATGTAATCTTATCAAGAACCAGAGGGAAGTAATTAATTTTTCTGGGAGATTTACTAACAAAACAGATTTAGCTGAAAGTGAGAAAGTGAATGAAGTGCATCGTTTTATCCAAAGAGTCCTGTCTAAACCGATGTGAAAATGGCTTTGAGGCTCAGAGGAAGTGCCAGTGTGACTCCATGTGCAAGTATTACAAAAGCTGCTGCTCTGACTTTGAGGTCATCTGCGGTATGACGAGTAAGAAAACTTATAACTCTTACGCTCCTAATATGAGTTTGCATATTTTTACACAGGCTCTAGTTCGATTCCTACGACGAGCACTGCTGTTAACGATACTCTTGTTCCCCATCAGCCCGTGGTGACACCTTTGTGTTTGCAGAGGATGATGATGATGATGACTTGTTTGAAACCCCCACTTCCTCCCCTGAAGGTGCCCCAGCTGTTGCATCCACCCAGCCCCCCGCCCCAGACTTTAACCAAAGAGGACATAAACCTAGGGAGTCCAATCTGGAAATGACCAAACCTTCGCGACTTGTGAATCAAAGAGTGACCCCTGAAAGTGAGCTCGCCTCCACAACTGAAGCTGCTCAGACTTCTCCAAACACCACAGCAGCTCCAAACACAACAGCAGCTACCACTGAAGCACCCGATCCAGATGCTGTGGTCTGTAGTGGAAGGCCTTTTGACTCCTTCATGCAGCTTAAAAACGGCTCCATCTACGCCTTCAGAGGTAGCACACATTTTATCTGAAATACAGTTATAGTCATCTAGATATGTTTTCTTTCTTTATAGTAGCTTCATTGCATGTTTTCTGTTTTCCAGGGGAGTACTTCTTTGAGCTGGACCAGAAGGCGGTTCTTCCCGGTTATCCCAAGCTGATAAAAGATGTGTGGGGCATCAGTGGGCCAATCGATGCTGCGTTCACCCGCATCAACTGTCAGGGGAAGACCTACATCTTTAAGGTGATGGCATGGAGACATTATCACCAGATGAATATCATTGGTTTCTAACCTGTTGTTATTAATACACCCATTAGGGAAACAAGTACTGGAGGTTTGACGATGGCGTCCTGGAGGGTGACTACCCACGGGACATCAGTGTTGGGTTTGACAAGATTCCTGATCACGTTGATGCAGCGTTCGCCCTTCCTGCTCACAGCCACCATGGAAAGGAGAAAGTTTACTTTTTCAAAGGTATTCCCAGAACTTTATTGTATTGCTGCTATCTTATAGTTTAGAGGTGACCCTGTGGCTTACTAACTATACTGTGGCTTGATCCAGGCGACCAGTACTACGTGTACGAGTTTTTACACCAACCCTCCCATGAGGAGTGTGCAGCCATGTCTGAGAGGTCTCCGTCAACACTCTTCAGGCAGTACACAGACCTGTACTACAGCAACTATGAGCGCTTCTTCAGTGAACTATTCTCCGACTGTAAGTTTAGTAAGAGGATTCATATGGCTTGACCGTTATCTACATTTACACATCAAGTAATCTCTTCTCCTTCTTTACTTTAATACTTATTGGCCTAGACTAAGAATCTGCTGAGAGGCCCTAAAATATGTGCTCTCGGATGCTATATGTCCCACTTAATTAAACCTGAGTTATGTAAAGATTTAAATAAAAAATTATAAAAATCACAGGAGAACTATTTGGGATGTAGAGGAAAAGTGGTTCTATAAGCACAGACCCAAGGGACCTGAATAAAAATCAATTGTCAGCTTAGATTTTTTTGTTAGAAAAGAAACAAATCATGGATGTTTTTTACTATTTCTGTTTGTAACTTAAACAAACATGGATTGCAGAGCACTATATATTTTAAAGAAAGAGGCATGTGCTCTTGTTGATGACTCGTTTCTCACACAGTGCCTCAGCATCATGACAAGCATCACTTCATTAACAAAGACTGGAAAGGCCTCAAGTCTCCAATTGATGCAGCCATGGCCGGCAGGATCTACGTCTCTCCTTTGAGGCCATCATTATGGCTAGACCAGCAGTGGGGCCAGCAGTACCAGCAGAACAGATGGCAGAGAGGTCAGAGGCGGTGGAACCGTTCCCCCTCCTGGGGGTCCATGGCTGAGCAGGGTATGAGCATGGGGCAGGGGTTTGCAGAGAGGGGCATGGAAATGGGTCTGAGACTGGCAGAGAGGAGGATGGAGATGGAGGAGAGACTGGGCCGAGACTGGGACAGGAGGCGGGATCAGGACTGGAACCAGGACAGACGATGGAATCAGGACTGGGACCAGAACAGAAGGTGGGATCGGGACTGGGATCGTTACAACCAGAACAACAGAGGCAACTATGACACCAGAAATGATCGATTCCTCCAAAGGGAAATGCCCATCCAGAGTGTTTTCTTCTTTAAAGAAGGTAAACAGGAAGATTGAAATATCATCTTCACATATTATATTATTCTTAATTTACATTAAAAAGCTTTAGTAGAAAATATTTCAAAGAATTTAGAGATGTCCATACAAAAGTCCGGAAAGTCTGAGTTGATTCAATGAGAGAAAATAATTTGATTATCCTTCCCGTTCTGTCTGCAAGACTTATTATAGTAACCAGTTTCACATGCTCTGTATTTTAACCCATGACAAAAGCGGAAATGACTAAAAATCAGGGCAGTTCCTCTTTAAGCCCTTTTTTGTGTGATCACCAAGCCGCTATGCAAGGTTGGAATCAAAGCTAATTGTATTTACACTTCAGTGAAGAATTGTTGCAATATTCCCTAAGCAGAGAGAGAAAACACCTAACGTATTATGTTTTTCATCATTTCCAAACCAACACAGGTTCAGCAAAATGTTTTTATGTCTTGCTAACCTTGAACTCCCAAATAATATCAAACCAATCAGTAATTGTTTCAGTCCTTTGGGACTTTCTGATGAAAACTGCTGAGTAACAGTCTAACTACTATTAGAAAAAGGTGCTAATAAAATTTATTTTATTGTTTGCCATATTTTCAGACTTTAGTTGCATTTTACCTAAAAAAGGTTGAAAATAACAGTAAAACGGATTGAATAATATTTAGAGGTGCAAATAAAGCTGTTATTGCAGCTATCACTACGGTTTGTAGGCGGCCATATTGGATTATGAGATTGAGATTGGTGTGAAACCTTAGATTTTAATGCACTTCTCTGTACTTTTTTTAAAATCCGGCCCCCAAAACCAAACTGTAGAGGAAATTGATAAGATCCCTTTTAACATTTATGACCATTTTTTTCTCTCATTTTTGTTTTTGTTTTTTTTATCAAATTATTCAACAAAATAAAAAAGGTCAAGTCCTGTTGAATTTCTTTAAACCTACCAGTGCTTCTCTTAAGAGGTTTGAGAACTTTTGCTTTAACAAAGGACTCTCTTGCGTTTTTTTTTTTTTTTTTAGACAAATACTACAGAGTGGACCTCAGGACCAAGAGAGTGGATCCTGCTATGCCTCCATACCCCAGATCCATCGCCAAGTACTGGCTCGGCTGTTCAGACGCAAACGGAAAGGAGAAGAAGTAGTTTAACCCATTTACCCTTGTTGTCTGTTTTTGTCGTGTGAGTTTAAAATAATGTTTAACTGATGAGTCATGTTCATAGAAGCTATCTGTGCCAAACATTTGCAGCGTCATTCATAAAGATCAGCAAACAGCAGCAACCAGAGAAAGTCCAAAGGGTCAAAGTTTGAATGTCTGGTTTTCTGAGTGGCTACCATGTGTTTGCAGCGTCAGCTGATTGACTTTATCAAACACGCAAAACGGACTCAAGTCAGATAATCACAAGATGGCAAAGAACTAACAAAAAATGTTGAAAAAAGTCTTCCTTATACTTTCTATTTCATGTCTACTATTTGTAACTTTAACAAAAATGAGTGAATGAAGAACAATATACTGCAGATATGTTAGTTCCAATCAACAGACCCCCATAACAGGTGATTTCCTGTTAGAGAACAGCAACAGTACAGCAGCGGATGTGAAAATGCACAGAAGTTCAACTTTGTCTCTAGTACTTCATTACGCAACAGAGGGAATCTACACTGCAGGGGAAATAATTAGGACAACCCACAACATGTTTTTCTTCTTGTATATCTGTTCTGAAGGATATGTTACATCAATCTGAGCAATGCAGAGAAATTCAATCAATGTAAATAAACAAGAAAAACTAAAGGTAACTGGTGTGATACAGTTGCACATCAAATGAGCCACAAATCAGTCATTCATTTCAATGAAATTTGTAGGTTTGCCACAAAATCTGACCATTGAGATAAGAGAGTACTCCCTCATGATGTTAAATGAGGCTTTTATGAATAATATTAAGTAGATAAGAAGTCTGGTAGGAGAATTAAAAGTGATGTCACAGTAGAAATCAGACATTTAATTGTGGATGGCATTCAAACAACTTCCAACTTTCAAAATTCTGATCATCCAGTTTACTCCGAGTTGGACATGATGTCTCCAAAGATCCTTAAATGTGATAATAGGACCTACAGTACTGTTGGTATGAAAGTGAGTACCTGTAAAAAATAAAATAAAATAATACTTAATTGAAGGCCAGACTAAGATTTGCCAGAGGAAGCATAAACATATACACATAAACCAGAAACCCATCTGTGAAGCATGGAGTTGGAAGTGTCATGGTCTGGGGATGTCTTGAAAATCCGCTCAAACTGGGCTCTGAATGAAAAAGTGCAAAGTTTTTAGTCCAGATCTTGAACTCAATGAGAGGCTCTATGGTGACTTGAAACAGTCTAAATAGCAAAAAACAGAAAGAAGAACTTTCCTCAGATCGACATCAGGCTTCAAAAAGGTGTCTCTATAGACAAAACAAACAAAAAAAGATGTAATCCTAATTTTTATTTCTACAAAAGCAATTCAACTTGTGTTAATTTTTTAATATTACTTGCTGTTGCTCAAGCTGTGATGTGATGTCAAACAAATTAGCAGCACAGAAACCGCTATGAAGTCAATGAAAAGGACTTCTGTTTAACAGCTCTACAGATATTTGAATCACATGCTGTTCTATCTTGTTGATCTTGTTCTGAAGTGTTTTTCATGTTTCATTCGTTTTCATAATCCAAATATCAACTGATTGTAGCGTTATCGTGTAAATGATAAATTAAAGCACTACTTTATGTCTGTAATTTTTTTTTACTCCATTGGGATAAACAAGGTTCATCACGCTCTGATCTTCTGGCTCAGCGTCTGTGGTTTATGGTTGTGTAATTAGGACGTTTTCATAGCAGGGTTCATAGTGTGCTGCTTCTTGGTTGCTGATAATCTCAGCGGCCTCTCCTGCTGGTCCCACTGTCAGATAGCTGCTCTCTGTTTGTTCTACACCTGCATTCACACTGTGCACGGCTGCTCCTTCAGCTCTTGGAGTTGACCCACAGTCAGCGGCGGCCAACTCTGGGACGCTTTTCAGAATTGATGACAGAGGTCGTTTGGGAGTGTTTCCTTCTAATGGAGGAGCCTCTGAGACATTCTTCTGCCTGATCGGCTTAGTCTGTGCTCCTGACGGCCCTCCCTGCTCCCACACTGCGGCACGAGCTCCCAGCTTCCTCCTTGGAGGTTTAGTGATCCCCTCGACGGGCTTTGACTTGGACTTTCCTCCATCCTGCTCTCTTTGTCTCTGCAGGCTGCCAAGTCTGCGCAGCATGGCCTGGACGGGCCCTTCAGAGCTTAACTCTGGTTTTGTTACAGGCCTCCCAGCCTTTCCTACCGTCACATATACTGTGGTCAGCTTATGAGAAGCTCCCACCTCACCATCAGATGTTGGGGGCGGGGTTCCTTTCAGACCAGCTGTGTTGGACATGGTCCGTCTTCGTCCTGATGTCCCAGGGACTTGTAAATTCGCATATGATGGGTTACTGTCTACTTCCTGGTCCTCACGGCTTGACTGCTGATCGTCTGCTGTTTGAGCCCCTTCCTCATCTCCTCTCTCCTCTTCTTCATCTTCATCCTCCTCCCCAGTCCTAGCTGTGCCTCCCTGACTCTGGAGGGCCGACAGCATCAAAACCCCCCAGGGGGTCTTAGCTTTGCCGCGAGAAGGACCACCGGGGTCCTGACCGGATCCACGCCTCTCTTTGGGACTAAAGCGTGTCCCCTCTGCAAACGACACAGACGGCCGCTTGGACTTGGCGATGCTGGAGGTCCGAGGGATGTTGAAGGACGACGTAATGTCTTCGTTGCTAAACCCAGACGGGTCTAGGAACATGTTACACTTGGAGCTCATCTCCTGGAACTCCCCACCTGCCACAGCTGGGATATCTGCAGAGAGGACACAGAGAGGACGTTCATGACCGTAACGCTCCTGCTTTCCAGCTGTGTCTGTGCTCCTACCTTCCCTCGGGGGAACGCAGTAGAGGGACTCTCCCTCCTCTTCATCGCTGTCAAAGGACGAACCCTCATCGACCCAGCCGGATGAAGGAGGCTCAATAAAGCTGTGGTTAAAGGTCAGCTCTGGGTCATGGTGAGAAACTGTGTGCAAATAAATAAAAAAAACTTCAACACAACAAAGTGCAGAAACAAACCAAGACACTGAGCGTGTCACGTTAAACTGAAACATAGACAACCAGCGAAGGTTAAGGTCAAGGTTTTCATATCAAGGTTTACATAGTTTTGAATTTTTCATTAGTTTTCTTTTTTTGTTTTGTAGCTTCTGATTTTCAATTCTGTTTTAATAGTGATTCATTCTTAGTATCTGTTAGCCAAGTTAATATTTGTTTTTTTTTTTAAAAAAGCTTAGCTTTTTTTTTTTTTTTTCAGTTATGATTTTAGTCTATTACGTAATATCAATAACATACCATGAGCAAGACTATAAAAATTAATAATATTAATTACATGAGAAATAAAATCCTAGCTAAGGACACACCGCCGCATCTGTATAATGAAAAAAAGCAACAAACGGCAACAGAAAACTAGACATCATATTAAGGCATTATGACAAAGGCAAAAAAGAAAAATAAGAACACTTTATGTTTATTTTCAGGGGTTTTTTTTGCATGGTGTAGTGTTATATTTTTTAACCTTGTGTATTTGAGGGAATTAAGTGTTTTAAAACAACACAACTTAGTATGTAAATATAAAATAATTGATACAAAATTATAAAACTTGTCCTTTTAAAGTAAAATCCCACTGCCTTTAACAACTGACCAGTGTTAATGTAATATTAGTGGAGTAAAACTTAAATATTGCTGTTCTGCAAAGGTCTCAAAGCATTCATGTTCAAAGAGCATCATAAGCACCAACAGATGGAGCAGACAGGTCAGGGGGCGGAAGACTTTACATTATTTATTTTTGTTCATTACATTCTCTTGACCGCCCTCTGATAGGTATCTGTCAAATATACATCAAATGTATGTTTTGGATGCAGGAAAAGTCTAATCAAACTCTTAATACAGACTTTGTGAGAAGAATTGATTCAGGATTAACCCTTTGTGGGGGTACTGACCAGTGACTCGAGGCAGACCTGAGGACCAGTCAGACATACAGGGGAGGGCAGCACCGATGTTTGCCAGAACACTGTAGACGTGATATTTCATCCTGACCAACAGGCCGCCCTCAGCCACAGCCACCCTGCCGCAGCACAGAAGCAGACAGAAGCAGGTGAAATAAATAAAAACTTAAAGAGCTTTTTTTTTTTTTCACAATTTTCTCCCTAAATTTTAGATTTATAGCTCTTGGGGAGTGGTACATTTCATATTTATAGATTTCCCAGTTTGAGCAGTAGGCTCACTATCAGTCAGAAGCAAATGTGTTTGTTCAAAGGAAAGCTTCAATTTGAACAAGAAGAATTTAGCAATTACATTTTACTACCAGCAATGGAAACATAATCTTGGGGAAAGATAAGAGACAGAAGTTAAATTCAGTAAATTAGAAGTATAATTATACAAGGCATTTAATTTCTTAAAACATGACTGTTGTAAAATGTTCTTTTAAC